CCATAGCAGTCACAATACTCGGGAGGAAAATAAAGAACAAAACCAAGAATAAAATAAACAAAACTAAAGATCTGCTTGTTTTACATTTTGCCATGAGCCACTCTTTTCTTACCTGGAGAAAAATATAGAGTGGTCTACATGCTGGCTAAACAAATGAAAGCTTAGAAATTTTGATTCCACTTCTCATGTCTCTCTCACTGCCACACAATGACCCCGCCATCTCACTCCTATGTAATTCCCAAAAGAAAAAAAAAAGCACAAGGGCACAAGGAGTTGTAAATCACCCCTTCTCCATCCCAAATGCTGGCAGTGTAATATCGATGTAGGTATTATCAAATTACCCTGAAAGATACATACATCCTCATGGGCTCTGTCTTACGACTCAGTGATAGGAATGGATGGACTAAAACCCAATCTCTCTCCCAGGTAATAAAGGAACCGTTTAAAAAACGTGAAGCTTGGGGGCGCCTGGGTGGCTCAGTCGGTTGAGCATCTGACTTCGACCCAGGTCATGATCTCGCAGTCTGTGAGTTCGAGACCTGTGTCAGGCTCTGTGCTGACCGCTCAGAGCCTGGAGCCTGCTTCGGATTCTGTGTCTCCCTCTCTTTCTGCCCCTCCCCTGCTCATGCTCTGTCTCTCTCTCCGTCAAAAATAAATAAACATTAAAAAAAAAAATTTTTTTTAAGGTAAAGCTTGAACTGTTCAAATTCTCCAATTTTAAAGGGATCAGAAGCTACTAATGGAGCCTAAGTATCCAAAAGGAAGAATATTCTAATTGATGAGCAAGAATGTTCCCATTTAAGCTCATCCAACGTGACTGGGAATACCTGGAAAACCAATTCCTTCCCTTCAATGAATTTTGAGAGAAGGAGATATAAAGATTTTTTTAATGTTTATTTCTGAGAGAGAGAGAGAGAGAGAGAGAGAGAGAGAGAGAGAGGGAGAATATGAGTGGGGGAGGGGCAGAAGGAGAGGAAGACACAAGAGTAGGCTCCAGCACAGAGCCTGACACAGGTTCGAACCCACGAACCGCAAGACCATGACCTGAGCCGAAGTCGGACGCTTAACCAACTGAGCCACCCAGGCGCCCTGAAATAAAGATTTTTTAAGAAAATCCAAGTCATACCTATAACATTTGATTCAGTGATCACTTATTAAGGTTTACAAAGCTTCTAATTCACTTTTTAGCAACAAAATCGGACTACAAGGAGAGATTCCCAATAAACTGTTTTCACACTGGTTGACACTTTGGTTCCAAAGGAGGATACGCCCAGCTTGGCATTCTGCAACTGGTTCTTGAGGGAGGAGATAACAGGGTGCCTTCCTATAGTAGTTCCAAAACTTCAAGTTCTCACAGTCTAGTAAAAAACTAAAAAAACAAGGAATAGAATGGAGGATGTTGATACAGAGCTGCCCACTTAAAGAGAGGCATTTGCCAAGTATGGAGAGAGAAAAAAATACACACACACACACACACACACACACACACAATTATCCATTACTATCATAATTTTCTAACAGAAAGAATATTTTAATGACAGAATGTAAAAATGACATAATCTCTAAAAAAAGATTTTATCTGCTTGCCCATCACCCCATCATAAGAAATGGCCAGATTTTCACATGGAATGTATGGTTCGGATAAATAGTAGTGTTGGCTACCCGGACAGAAGTAGACTGCATTTCCCAGGTGCCCTCACTGTTAGCTGTGGTCATGTAACAGGTGTGGCACCACAGCCAATGGAATGTGAGTAGAAGTGACCTACACCACTTCCAGCCTGGTCCCTAAACTTGCCACATACCGTGTTCCGTGTCCTTAATCTTCCATGGCTGGACTGTGATGCCCAAGGCAACCTTTAAAGCCAAGTATTGTCAAAGGGGGAACAATGTTCTGCCTGGAACATTCAATAACTATGGCAGTAGAGTACTCACCCCATCTCTTCAACCTCAAACCACTTTAGCTCATCAGGTAAGAGAGAAAGAAATCTCTAATGTGTTTATACCATTAGAGATTTGGAGATTATTGCAGTACTTAGCTTACGTATGATTTAAAATATGAGCTATGAATCAACAATTAAAAACTAATTTTTAAAGGACAAAAGATTTGAACAGGTATGTCAAAAGAACACATATCAATGGTCACTAAGCACATGAAAAGACAGCTATCTTTCGTCATCAGAACAATGCAAATTACAACCACAGAGACATCATTTCCTACCCCCAACGATGGCTGAAATTAAAAAGCTGGTAACGCCAATGTTGGCAGGATGTAGAGCAACTGGAACTCTCACACACTGCTGATGGAAGTGTAAAATGGTACAAACACTTTGGAAAAAAAGGCTTAGCAGTTTCTCACAAAATATTCACTTACCCCATCACCCAGCAGTTCTACTGCTAGGTATTTCCTAAGAGAAATGAAAGCATATGTGCACAAAAATACTTGTATGAGACTTCTCAAGGTAGCTTTACTTATAACATCCCAACACTGGAAATAGCTCACATGTCCAGCAACGGGATAAACAAATGGTGATGTGTATTCATCTAGTGGAATACTACTCAGTAATAAAAACAGCAAACTATACATGTAACAACATGAATGACTCTTAAAACATTTTTTTTCTTTTTTTAAATCTTAAAACATTTTTGCTGTACGAAAGAAGTGTTAACACAAAAAAGTACATAAGCCAATGGTTAAAAAAAAAAAAAGTCAAAACAGTGGTTGCGTGGGGCAAGATTGCAGGGGATGCAATAAATCACTAGGAAAGCAGCATGAAGGAACTTTCCAGGGTGACAATAACTTTCTATATGTCTTGATGAGGGAAAAGGATTCACAGGTGTATATGTTTATCGAAATACATTGGAATGGTACACTTAATATTTGTACACTTCACTATAGGTATTACCTTAAACACACAATCAAACACGGAACTCTGTTCATTTGCAGGCTTAGTGTTTAGGGGTAAAGTCTACTGATGTCTAAAATCTAATCTGAAATGTATCCCCAAAAAGGGGAAGGTTAATGGATGAACAAAGAGATGGACAGATAGAATAACACAATAAAAGATACGTAGCAAAATGTGGTGAATACATAAGTATACACTGCACAATTCTTTCAACTGCTCTGTTTGAAATTTTCCACAAAAAGCACTGGAAAGTTGTAAAGGCTCCCTATGCGAAATTCCTTTTGGAGGATCAGGAGAGGGGATCACCTCAAAGAAATAAGTAGTTTTCACTCAGAGCAGCTAAGAGTGAAGGGCAACAAGACATCGAAGTGACTGCCAATCAGGACCACATACACAGCACATGGACATACCACAGGCAGAGGAGACAGCACTATTTCGACTATGAGTCCTCCGATCATAGATGTGCTTTTGTGAGCCAGATGTTTCACACATAGGCAACCATGTAGAGAAAATCACCAGTAGGGTCTTAATGACTTAACAACAGTTACTGATTCTCCAAATGAAGAGGTAAGCTAGTCTCAGAAAAAAGGGGGGTGGGGGGGTCCTTTAAAAATGAATAAATTGTGCCTTATGAAAAACTCACTACATAGTCCATATTTTTCTCAATTCACAGAGTATCATGAAAACTTCAGCGTGAACCAGGATTTAGTGACCACTGGATATGGAGGGAATCCTGGCCCCACCAGCTACGTTCTCAACTTGACTCTGCCACTAGCTGCCTGTCCTTAATTAGACTCTAAGTCCCTCTGGTTCACTTCAGGAACTCATAAAAAACTGAACTACCCTCCTGGCATATAATAAAGGACAAAATGAGAAGAGAGATGTTCCAGGCCCTTAGAGGAGAATGACGGACAGCCTTCTCAAGAGCAGGGAACAATAAAGCAACCCATGGACACTTAGCATTAATACCCCAGTTCATGAATACTAACCTATTTTTGAGAAAGAGCATTAAGATGAGAAAAAAGCATGGCTCTCCTCCTCTGCCATTAACCAATTGCCATGCGAACTAGGCAAGTCCCTCAGACTCTGTGGGCCAATATGACAAGACTCGGATCAGATGCACTCTCAACTGATCCAACCTGCTCAAAGATGCTCTTTAAGACTGCGCCTGTGGATACAGGCCAGGAATGCCTCACCCACCACCACTGAGCTGAAAGCCTTCTCATCGTTACAGCTCTTGTTCAGATGTCACGTGCTTTGGGAAATTTTCCAGCCAAGTCCGGTCATTCCCTTTACACTTTACAGATAACCTATATTAGAGTCCTCACCATGCTCCCTGTATGTTAATCATTTGTTTATCTGTGTTGTCTCCCTGACTAGACTTTGAGCTTCTCAATACTACAGTCCTTGCCTCACTGGCATTTGTACACCTTGTCTCGGCTCAGTGATTACACAGGCTCTCAAAGAATACGTCTGAATAAACGCCATTAATCCCTACTGTCGCTTCTAGCTCTACAAAGTTAGGCATGGTGTTTTTTAAATGCAAATGGAATAATGGATGTTAGGAGTGTTTAGTCGTTCAATGCAGTGCGTACTGAGTATCTGGTATCGTGAGCAGTGTTGGGGACGAGATGATAAAACACGATCCCTGCCCCCACGTCAAATATGGAAGCTTGTAGTTATTGCCAGATCAAGGTCAAGGCCGGAGCCCCGTTCCCACTCCCCCCCACCCCCGCCCCCACTTCCTTTCTTGCTCGGCTCTCTGCCTCTTTCCCCATGAGCCTTCATTCCTCCCTCAAGCTGCGACCTCTGTCCCAGCTGGCAGAATTGCAAAAATCGGAGCCAATCACTCACGCCCTGCGGCCGACGACAAATCCTGCAGGCGGGTCCCCAGCCCCAGAAACCTCTCCCCTTCTCCCCACGAATGGAACAGTCCTTCGAAACAGGAAAGCAGCGCCCAAGCAGCGCCCACCCCGGCCCGTGATCAGTGGTACTGCCCCTCTCCACACCGCAGCGCAGGAGAAGCCGGGCCGTTACTTGCCCACGCCCAGCTCTCTGCGCAAACCTTCAGGCCGGCTCGAGGGACGCAGGGTATACCTGCGAGGCCCGCTGCTCCTTCCAGAGCTTCATCTGGTCGCTGGCTGGATCCCGGCTGTCCGCCATGGTGTCCGACTGGCTTCGCTCAACGTTGCTGGCAGCCTCGGCGACGCGTCTCCACCCTCCGCTGGAGAGCCAGTCTACCGCCGAGCGACTGAAGTAGGCGACCGCAGGCTCCGCCACTCAGCTCCGCCCCTCGCCCCGTCCCCCGAGGGAGGGCCGCCTCCTGATTGGCCGCTCGAGCGCCAGGCAGGATGGGATTGGAAGCCAAATATGGGCGGGAGAAGAGGGGCCAGGCGCTGGGCCTCCGGGAGGGAGACGCAACCCGGGGGCTGGGAAAGGCCGGAGAGGTGTGTGAAAAGCGGGGGAGCCCCGCCCTTCCGCCCCCCAAACGGCGGGATTTGTGAACCCGGGGCTGGGTCCCGTTTAGGGGGCCCTCAATCTTGCCCCCCGGTTATCAGCATCCTTCAGGCTGCCACGCGAAGCGACGGTTGGTGGCCTGCCTGTTTTGCTGAGGAAACGCTTAGGCGCCGCGGGGTGGGGCTTTGAGGCGTAAACACGGTCCCAGCTCATTTTAATAAGTCAGAAATCCTGGGATGAATTCCAGTAATCTTCTCAAAGTCACGTTAGTTTTCCTGGATCACAGACTATTTCCACGGAAAAAAATGAAACATTGACAAGTTCTTAAGGGTCTTCATGGTCTAAAATCCTTAGGAAGGAAGTTCAGCCTTTTAGGTTCCCTTTCGTCTTAGAAGTTCCCCGTTTTGGACTATCTGCTGTGTGCCAGATGCTGCTAGATGTTTGCCAGACTATATCGTTTAATTTTTCAATCTCGTGATGAAAGTTTTATTATCCCCCGCTTGAAATATGACGAATCTGAGGCTTAAGAGAGGTGGAGGAACTTACCTAATGGAGCTTAAAAGCCAGCAAAATGTCAGAACCTAGATCCTTGGGGGCCTGGGTCCTGAACCACTATGCTATCCTGCCTTTCTAAGAATAAGAATTTTGAAAAACTCTAAGAATTTTAGAATTCTATGTCTTTAAAGAGCCATATTGGAAAATTAAATCTTGAGTTATTGACTAATTTGTCAGTGTTATCAAATGGATTGAATGATTTTCCCCCTTCAGGTGCTACGATTTCTCTTTAAATATTACCTTGATGCATAAGATCTTCAAATTCAGGGTGCTCAACTTTTACATTTGATATTTTTCAATAAAGCTACATATAATGGGTAGATATAGGATAGTGGAACTTTCAGGTGTTCTTGATTTTACAAAAGTGTGATATCAAGAATCTCAGTCCTACAAGTTTAACTTTTGCAGTTCATTGAAAGAGCAGCTCCCAAAACTGATCTTCAGTGACCTGTTATTTTTCCTTCATTACACCTAACACAACTGCCAAGATGCTATTAGCTGTGTGATTTGTGTGGTGTCTTTTGCTACCCACTTCATTCCTACTGCCACCAGAGTATAAACTCCATGAGGGCAGGGGCCACATCTTGCTCTGTGTTGTATTCTGCACACCTAGAATTTATTGAGTACTTACTCCATGCCGAGGAGTCTTCTAAGATTTTTGTGTGCACCTGCTTACTTCACCCTCCTAACAACCCTATGACTTAGGTGCTAATATTATCCTCATTTTACAGTTTAGGAGACTGAGGCATGGAGAGGTTAAATAAGTAACTTGTCCAAGATTACACAACTATTAAAGGATAGAGCCAGGATTCCAGCCCCGTTCATCTCCTGGGCTCATGGCTTGTTGAATAAATAAATGTTGAAAAGATCAAACTAATCATTTTCTGTGTTGACTAAGATAAATTTCAACCAAGTAAATGAAAAGAGGCCTGGAGTCATGTGTTAACCCTTGATCTCTACATGAACATTGTCCTGTTTATTTTTTTTCTCCGTGTTTCCTTTAGTGTTGGTTTGGATTCCTAACGAATTTCCAGTGAAAGAGAAATGGAGAGACAAGACACTTTCAGATCATGTCAAATCTTGTACATTAAAATAAGGTATGTGCTTACAAGTAATGGCCATGAATTTATATTAGCCACACTGGTAGCATTACATTCATTGGCTTTACAACTATAACCTAATTATAGTTTAAGTGAAAACACTCCTAAAAACCAGCCCTAGTTTAAAAATACATTAAACTGAATCTATCTGACTCCTAGGTAATCCCAAATGATTGGTTCAGTAAACAAATTTGGCCCCAGATTTTTATATTTTATTAATACAAACACGTGAATATTTTCATTGGTATTGAATACAATTGTTATTAGAAAATACTGTTAATTGTACTGAAAATTGTATTAGAAAATACTGTTCTCTGATTATTCAGAACCCAGTGAAATAAAATATACTGGCACAAAACATAATGTTATTGTTCCTGATATCACCAAATCTAAAACCAAACTTACAAATTAGGCCATACAGTAAATGTTGAAGACAAAAGTCTGGGCACTCAACTGGAACCTTTATTGACAAATTTTCTTTCATCGGTATTTGAAATAGTGGAGGAACTGTGGGAGGAACTGTGTCTTGTTGGATGACGGGTATGTAATATAGCGCAGCATGAAAAGTAATGGAAACTGAGATAATTATTTCTATTCTAATTCCACCCACCCTCTGAGGGACTGAGAATGTTCCACATATTTTGATTTCATTCTTTTCGCAATAGCCTTGTGGAGTAACCTGGGGATAGAGAGAGGGGTAGAAAAAAGGAAGAGTGTAAAAGAGAAGAGATGTGTCACAACCCAGAATGCCCTGGGAGGGAAGGACAGTGAACACTACCACAGAATGGTATGTGTATGTTTTCAACCCACTGTGGACTAGTCCTGAGCAGACAGGAGAGGGAAAGCCAATTTGCAGAAAGTGACAATGGTTCTATATGGGTTTATACGTGTAAAACAGGCACATACCTTCTACTTTGCCTATTTTGCTTTTCCACGCATTACTTCTGCTCTAATAAGAACAATTACTTGGGGCCCCTGGGTGGCTCAGTCGGTTAAGTGTCCAACTTCAGCTCAGGTCATGATCTCACAGTTCATGCGTTTGAGCCCCACATCAGGCTCTGTGCTGACAGCTCAGAGCCTGGAGCCTGCTTCAGATTCTCGCTCTCTCGCTCTCTCTCTCTCTCTCTCT